TATCCCATGCAAATGGTGACCGTTCTTTCCCTTTGCCGGGTGACCAAATAACGGGTGGGTCCTGACTGTCTCTCTCAAGCCCCGTTTCAATCCTGTGGCCACTGCCTATGAAGTCTCGGTTGGCTTTTACCTCTGTAAGTTCAGAAGGGCCGACCAGTTATTTCAGCGGGTTCATTAGTGCAAAGTCACGAGAAGCAGGGGAACTGGAGCTTGAATGCAGCCAATCCGGGCTTGTTGTGTGTTCTGAGAGGCCCAAACTGTTCGCCCCAGATCCACGTCAGCTCAGCATTGCCTAGTGATCCTGAGCAAACAGCATTTAGACAGTTTACGACTCCCTATGCCCACGCAGCTGAAGAGGTCAGAGACTTGATCTCTCCGCGCCCGACGCCATGTTGGATCCTTATCCCGAGTAAAGACTTTTCAAGAGATTGTAGTTTGTAATGGATGAGATTCAGGAGGTTGGACAGTGAAATAAAAATGTTCCATGAGAAACAAAAGTTAATAAATTTAAAACTAGAAAGCCTGAAAAGTAAAAACCAGCAAAGGTGGGAACTACGTAAGAAGAATAACCAATCAATGAAGAAAGTAATTCAAATTAAAAACCAGGAACGAATCAAAAATTGACAGGGAATAAAAATTATTTCTCAATAATAACATTGAGTGTAAATAGACTAAATTCATCAATCAAAAGACACAGACTGGCAGAGTGGATTAAAAAATAAGACCTAAAAATATGCTGTCTCTAGGAGACTCACCTCATAGGCAAAGACATCCAGACACTGAAAGTAAAAGGATGGGATAAAACATACCCTTCACATGGATCTCAGACAGGCAGGGGTTTGTATCCTTGTATCAGATAATGTGGACTTCAAGCCAAAGTTTATCAGAAGGGACAAAGAAGGTCATTTCATACTGCTTAAGGGAATTATACATCAACAAGACATAACAATCAAAAATATTTAAGGTCCAAACAATGGTACATCTATGTATATCAAATAGGCCCTTCTCAATTTCAAGAATCAAATATACCACAACACAATAATACTGGGTGATTTTAACACACCTCTCTCATCACTGGATAAATCTTCCAAATAAAAACCAAATAAAGAAGCTATAGAATTTAAAAATAGAATTAACAATTTAGACTTAACAGACATATATAGAATATTTCATTCACAAATGACTGAATACACTTTGTTTTTAGCAGCACATGGTTCTTTGTCTAAAATAGAACATATCTCAGACCACAAAGCAATGCTTAGCAAATACAAAAAAAAAAAAATAGAGATGATACCTGGCATCCTATCAGAGCATAATGGAATGAAATTAAAAATCAACAATAAAATTAAAAATAGATCTACTCTGACACCTGTAGACTACATAATATACTAATGAATGAACAATGAAAAGCAGAAGAAATCATGGATAAAATAAAAAATATTTAAAGGTATATGAGAATACCAAGACAGTATATCTAAATCTCTGGGACATTATGAAGGAAATTCTAAGAGGAAAGTTCATTGCATCAAGATCATTTATTAAAATATAGAAATTCACCAAATAAACAACCTAATGTTACATCTCAAAGCCCTAGAAAAAAAACAAATGAACACCAAAAGCAATAGAAGACAGGAAATAAATAAAATTAGAGTAAAAATCAATGAAATAGAAACAAAAAAATAAAATTTTAAAAAATTTACAAAGCAAAAAGTTGGTTCTTTGAAAAAATAAATAAAATTGATAAACTGTTAGCCAAGCTGACTAAGAGAATGAGAGAGAAAACTAAATCATGATGAAAAGGAAATATGATGGACACTACTGAAATACACATGATAATCAGAAACTATTTTGAAAATTTTTACTCCAATAAAATAGAAAAAGACATCGACAAATTTCTAGAGACATATGATCTACCCAAATTAAATCAGGAAGATATAGAAAATTTGAAAAGATCACTTTCAAGCAATGAAATTGAAGGTGCCATCATAAGCCTACCAACAAAGAAAAGCCCAGGACCACACCAATTCTCAGCAGATTTCTACCAGACATTCAAAGAGTAAGAAACACCAATCCTCTTGAAATTATATCATGAATTAAAAAAGGAGAGAACCCTTCCAAACTCATTCTATGAAGCTAGCATCACCCTGACACCAAAACCAGACCAAGACACCAAGGAAAGAAAACTTCAGACCAGTATGCATGATGAATGCAGATGCCAAAATTCTTTTTTTTTTTAATTTTTTAATTTTTTATTTTTTTTTAGTTGTAAATGCACACAGTGCCTTTATTTTATATATGCAGTGCTGAGAATCAAACTTAGGGCCTCTCATGTGCCAGACAAGCATTCTACCACTGAGCCACAACCTCAGCCAAGATGCAGAAATTCTTGATAAAATACTGGCAAATTACATACAAAAACATATTTAGAAGATAGTGCATCATGATCAAGTGAGTTTCAGTAGGGATGCAAGTTTGGTTCAACATACAGAAATCTAAAACACAATTCATCACATTAATAAACTTAAAGACAAGAATCATGTGATTATTGTAATAGATGCAGAAAAGGCATTTGACAAAATGAAGCATACATTCATGTTCAAAACACTACATAAACTAGAGAACGTAGGAACATAACTCAACATTGTAAAAGCTGTATATGTTAAACCCAAGGCCAACATCATTCTAAATGGAGAAAAATTGAAATCATTCCCTCTAGAAACTGGAACAAGATAGGGATGCCCTCTTTCACCACTTCTATTCAACATAGTCCTTGAAACTCTAGACAGAACAATTAGAAGAATTAATAAAAGAGATACAAATAGAAAATGAAAAACTCAAACTTTCAACTCTTTGCTGACAACTTGATTCTTTATTTAGAAGACACACACACACACACACACACACAAAAAAAAAAACTCCACCAGAAAACTTCTAGAACTCACAAATGAATTCAGCAAAGTACTGGGATATAAAATTAATACCCATAAATCAATTACATTTCTATATATCAGTGATTAATCAAGTAAAAGAGAAATTAGGAAAATTATCCAATTCACAGTAGCCTCAATATATGTACATATTTGGGAATCAATCTAACAAAAGAGGTGAAAGACCTCTTCAATGAAAATACACAAAACTAAAGAAATTGAAGAATACCTTAGAAAATGGAAAGTTCTTCCATGTTTTTGGATAGGCATAATTAATATTGTCAAAATGGCCATACTACCAAAAGTGCTATACAGTTTTAATATAATTCCTATTAAAATTCCAGTGGCATTCTTCATAGAAATAGAAAAATCAGTCTTGAAAGTCATTTGGAAAAATAAGAGGCCCAGAATATTCCGAGTAATTCTTAAAAGAAAAGTGAAGCAGGAGACATTACAATACCAGATCTTAAATTATACCATAGGACCATAGTAATAAAAATGACATGTTATTGGCAAAAAAAAAAAAAAACAGGCATGAAAGTGAATGGAACAGAATAGAAGACACAGAGACAAACTCACAAAATACAGTTATCTCATCCTAGCAAAAGTACCATAAAAATACATTGGAGAAAAGATAGCATCTTCAATAAATGATTCTGGGAAAACTGGAAATCTATATGTAATAGAATAAATTGAACCCCTCTCTCTCCCTGCACAAGATTCATCTCAAAGTGGATCATGGACCTAGGCATTAGACCAGAGACCCTGTGCCTACTAGAAGAAAAAGTAAGCCCAAATCTCCATCATGTTGGCTTAGGAACCAACTTCCTCAACAAGACTCCTAAAGTGCAAGAAGTAAAATCAAGATTCAATAAACGGGATGGTAACAAGCTAAAAATCTTCACTGCAAAGGAAACAATCAAGAATGTAAAAGTAAAAGCCAACGAATAGGAGAAAATCTTTGCCACCTGCACCTCATATAGAGCATTAATCTCCAGAATATACAAAGTAATCAAAAAACTTAATACCATAAAAAATAACAAATAACCCAATTAATAAATGGACTAAGAAACTGAATAGGCACTTTACAGAAGAAGAAATGCAAATGATCAAAAAATATATGTTCATCAGCAGTAACAATCAGAGAAATGCAAATTAAAACTAACTGAGATTTCATTCATCTTTCTCCATTCAGAATGGCAATTATCAAGAGTACAAGTAACAATAAATACAGGTGAGGAAAAAAGGCACATTCCTACATTGTTTGTGGGACTGTAAATTTGTGCAACCATAATGGAAAGCAGTAGGGAGATTCCTCAGAAAACTTGGAATGGAACCACCATTTGACCCAGTTATCCTATTCCTTGGTATATACCCAAAGGACTTAAACATTTTACTTTATTTTAGTTTGAAAAAATACAAATCTACAGACATAATAATACCTCCTCTATGAATTAAGGTTAATGGTTAATAATATATATATATATTTTTTTTTTTAAAGAGAGAGTGAGAGAGGAGAGAGAGAATTTTTAATATTTATTTTTTTAGTTCTCGGCGGACACAACATCTTTTTTGTATGTGGTGCTGAGGATCGAACCCGGGCCGCACGCATGCTAGGCGAGCGTGCTACCGCTTGAGCCACATCCCCAGCCCCAATAATATATTTTTAACTTCCATATGCTTTGACCTTGATAGATGTTACAAACAGTACCCCTGACCCTTGCCATAAAGATGAGCATTTGAAATGAAGAATCTATTTTATTTGTGTAAGATTTCATTCTCAAACTTTAATATCTCAGAAACTGGGCTGGGTTTGTAGCTCAATAGTAGAGCACTTACCTAGTACATGTGAAGCCTGGGTTTGATTCTCAGCACCACATAAAAATGAATGAATGAGTGAATTTATAATGTATTGTGTCCATCTACAACTAAAAAAAAATTTTAAAAAAACTCAGAAACTCTCCTAGCAAGTGTTTTTTGTGTGTTTGACTTTACATCCTAATACTCTTAAGTTTTTACCTCTTGTCAATGAATATTGATGTCAGTGAACTAATTGGTTCTTTTTGTGTGTAGGTACCCAGACATGCCCACTGCTGCTGACGTTGTGAATGCTTTAGATCAACAGGCACTTGCATCCATCCTAAGAGCATACGGGGAGGAGAAGCATGCCAAGAAAATTGCTTCAGCAATCGTTCAAGCACGTAGCATATACCCCATCACAAGAACCCAGCAACTTGCCAGCATTGTTGCAGGTACCTTCATTAATTCCAAGGAGTAAGAAGAAAGAAAGAAATATGTTTTCTCCCCACCCCACCCCAGACTCCCAGAGGGATTGATTTGTATCTGAAGTGATTCAGGGTAGAATCCTGCCTATTCTTCTCTAATGTTAGTTCTGGTTTTGCATACATTCCCCGCCCCCCCACGGCCAGCACTGTTTCTCTTCACACAGTTAAATATATGTGTGTGTGTGTGTGTGTGTGTGTGTGTGTGTGTGTGTGTGTGTGTGTAAACCACACATACTGCGGTTTGCTTGTTAGTATAATAATAGATTTTTTTTTTCCTTGAGATGATATACTATCTGTGCCTACCAAGGTGAAACATGGAATGACAAGACCAAAAGAACTTCTTGATCCATCACAGTGGTTGATAAGCAACCTATATAAGATTTGACATTACTTCTCTTAGTTTCACATTTCTGCATTTTAATATTTTGGGCAAAAGGAGAATTTCATTGCCCAACTACTAAAATAAAATCCAGTGACTCATACATCTATTCTAAACAACAAGCTAACAAAGGGTATGTGATGTATAGGTTATTTCACTTTGTGAATGCTAACTAAATCAGCCTGAGGGGCTTATTGAAACATTTCATCTTTTCTGCTGTTCACCACCATGAACCTCTTGAACCTGAGTCTAGCTAGGAGATGTTTTATTATAGCCCTTCTGTTTGAAGCCAGAGTTTTTTCACAGATGAAAGTTTTCCAAGGTAAAAATACAACTCCTACAGTTATTTAGGAGAATTCCAATGTTTAATTATTTGTCTTTTTGGACCATCTAAAACCCTAAATCATTTGTATTTATCAAAAACTGTGTTAAGATTTCTTTCAGTGGTTCCTATTTAATTTCTTAAGTAGTTAAAAAAGATAAGGAATATTTGTATGGCATATCAACAGAACCTAATATTGATTACCACTATCTTAATATTATCCATAGCTTCAAGAATGAAATTTAATAATGAATTTATTTAGATCATTTAGATGTAGAAGCCATATGTTAATTATTTTATGGCATAATTGAATAATATCTTGTTCTACTTAGGATAATGAAATATGAAGTATTGACTAAGTGTTTAATTTTTTAAGCTGCATAATTTAGGGCCCTTACAACTTACAATTAAGATTCCTTTACGCAAGTGAGAGCAGAATTCTTATGGGTTATGTGAACATGAAACATTTCATGATATTTTCCCCCAAAATAATTTATACTAGTATGCTGACATTAAATTCATCTTTTTTCTTGTGTACCTATTTTTCTTACTTCATACTCACTAACATGACTCCACCTTATCCTTTCTGTCATTCTTTATGTAAGTATGTTTTGACTTTGTTTACCATATTAAAAAGAAAAGCAGTGAGAAGTCACACAGGTTGTTTATTTATAAGAAAATCCAAAATGTTCTGGTATTGAAAATAAGTGCTTAGAGCTACCAAGCATCCTAGGAAGATTGCCTAGTGAAAAAACCTTATCTGATAACTAGTGCAACTGAGATGTAGGAGATCAACAATTTGCTCAAGATTATAACCTAATTATTAAGAGAGTAGTAATATAGAATATGTAAGTTCGTGAATTTGAGATGTAATTGGGAATCTGCTTTTAAGAAATTAACTTTTCTGGGCCTGGATCCTCTAATGTGTAAATGTGGGGAAATAATACTACAATGTTAGATAGTCTATGTTAGATAGTCAATGTTAGATGATCTGTTTAAATTATGTATATCTTCCTGACTGAATCTGGCAAATTATGTGACTTAAGAAATTTGTTGATGCCTTCAATGTCATCTATTTTATTGAGTATAAGATTTCAAACTAATTTCTAATTATGCTCTGTATTTCTGTAGTGTCTGTTGTGATATTACCTTTTTCATTATGAATGCTGGTAATTTGAGTTCTCTCCTTCTCTTCATTAGCGTGACTAAGGGTCTGTCAATTTTATTTATTTTTTCAAAGAACCAACTTTTTGTTTTGTCAATTTTTTCAGTTGTTTCTTTTGTTTTGATTTCATTCTAATTTTAATTATTTCTTGCCTTCTACCGTTTTTTTGCTACTGATTTGTTCTTCTTTTTCTAGGGCTTTGAGATGTAGTATGAGGCTATTTATTTGTTGACTTTTTCTTGTTTTAAGGAATGAACTCCATGCAATGAATTTTCCTCTTGGTACTGCTTTCATAGTATCCCAGAGATTTCGATATGTTGTGTCTATGTTCTCATTTACCTGTAAGAAGTTTTTAATCTCCTTCTTGATGTCTTCTGTAACCCATTGTCCATTCAGTAGCATATTATTTAGTCTCTAGGTGATGGAGAAATTTTTACTTTTTATTTTGTCATTGATTTCCTATTTCATTCCATTATAATCTGATAAAATGCATGGTAGTATCTCTACATTTTTTTATTTTCTAAGAATTGTTTTGTGGCATAGTATATGGTCTATTTTAAAGAAGAATCCATGTGCTGCTAAGAAGAATGTGTATCTGCTTAATGCAGATTGAAATATTCTATATATGTCACTTAAGTCTAAGTTATTGATTGTGTTATTAAGTTCTCTAGTTTCTTTATTCAACTTTTGTTTGTAAGATCTATCTAATGGTGAGAGAAGTGTGTTAAAGTCACCCAAGATTATTGTATTGTGGTCAATTTGACTCTCAAACTTGAGAAGAGTTTGTTTGATGAACATAGTTGCACCATTGTTTGGGGCATATATATTTATGATTGTTATGTCTTGTTGTTGTATCATTCCCTTAAGAAATATGTAATGTTCATCTTTATCCCTTTTGATTAACTTTGGCTTGAAGTCTACTTTATTTGATACGAGGATGGAAACCCCTGCTTGCTTCTGCAGTCCATGTGAGTGATATGATTTTTCCCAACCTTTCACCTTCAGTCTGTGTATGTCTTTTCCTATCAGATGAGTCTCCTGGAGGCAGCATATTGTTGGGTCTTTTTTAAATCCAATCTCCTTGCCTATGTCTTTTGATTGGTAAGTTTAAGCTGTTAACATTTAGGGTTATTATTGAGATATGGTTAGTATTTCCAGCCATATTTGTTTTTTTTTGTTACTTGACTTGGTTTTCCTCTTTGATTAATTTTTCTTTTAGTATAATACCTCCCTCTGCTGATTTTTATTGTTGTTTTTCATTTCCTTTTCATGGAATATTTTGTCAAGGTTGTTTTCTAGTGCCAGTTTTCTAGCTATAAATTCATTTAACTTTTGTTTATCGTGGAAGGTTTTTATTTAGTCTTCAAATCTAAAGCTTAGTTTTGCTGGATACAAGGTTCTTGGTTGGCACCCATTATCTTTCAGAGCTTGATATATTTTGCTCCAGGATCTTCTATCTTTCAAGGTCTGTGTTGAAAAATCTGCCATTACTCTAATTGGTTTTCTCCTATATGTAATCTGATTTCTTTCTCTTGTGGCTTTTAAAATTCTCTCCTTATTCTGTATGCTAGGCATTTTCATTTTAATGTGCCTTGGTGTGGATCTGTGGTGATTTTGTACACTCAGCATCCTGTAGGCTTCTTGAATTTGGATTTCCCATTCACTCTTCATGTTTGGAAACTTTTCTGGTATTTTTTCATTGAATAGATTGTTCATTCCTTTGGTTTGGACCTCTGTGCCTTCCTCTATCCCAATAACTCTTAAATTTGGTCTTTTTTGCTATCCCATATATCTTGAATGTTCTGCTCTTGGTTTCTTACCATTTTTGCTGTGTGGTCTATGTTCTTTTTAAGAGGATATATTTTATCTTCATTGTCTGATGTCCTATCTTTCAAGTGTTCTACTCTGTTGGCGATGCTTTCATTTGAGTTTTAATTTGGTTTATTATTTCTTTCATTTCAAGGACTTCTGTTTTTTTCTCTCTTTTTTTTAAAGAACCTCTATCTAATATATATACTGTATATATTCATACTAACATATGAATATATATACTGTATCTAATATATATACTGTATATATTCATATATCTAATATATATACTGTATATATTCATATGTTAGTATGAATATATACAGTATATATATTCATATGTTAGTATGAATATATACAGTATATATATTAACATTGCCACAATTACAAAATAAAAGTAAAGGTTTTAAGAGTGTTCAATTATCACTGTGATAGAAATGTGGTCAAACTTACAGTCAAATTTATATGGCTTGCCAGTGTGTCATAGCTGTTGTTGCCATCATCTAAGATAATAAACTTATTGTTCTGTCATTTTAAGTTTTATGATTAAAACTACTGTTATATATGTTTTATGATTAAAACTACTGTTAAAATATGAAATTACCATATTTTAATATGGTAATTTCATTCCAGCTAAATTGTCGAGTAATATTTCATAATTAAACTGATGAGGAGACATTCTATACAAGAAGTCCAGTTTAGAAGAGAGTGAAATAAGGATTTAAAAAAACCCCTAATTACTTGTTTCTTTTTTTAAAAATAAAAATATCAGCTAGTCTCAGTTTTTAGTAGAGAGCAGGAAATGTTCCAATCCCAAATTATTAAGGATTTACTCTAATTTTTTATTGGTGCATTATAGTTATACATAATTGTGATATTCATTATGTCATATTCATACATGCAAATAGCATAGTTCGATCAGTCTTATTCTCTGGTACCTTTTCTTTCCTTCTGTTCCTCCCTCTGCCTGATCTGCTTGCTTTATTCTACTGATCTCTATTCTATTGTTATTAATTTAGTTAGTGCATTTATATATACATATATATACGCACGCATACATATATATATATTTCATGCAAATACATATACACACACACATATATATGATGAATTGAGGTATATTCATACATAAACATAGCATAACTTGGTAGATTTTGTTCCCTAATTCTTACTTCCCCACACTACTAAACTTAATTTGATATTAATAAGTAATACTGACACTTACTGAGCAATTCTAGGTATTCTCTTAATTTATTTTCATATATTAACTGAAAATTTGATGGAAGATATTT